TGACATTGGGGGGGGGTGACTAGTGACAGTGAGGGGGGGGGAGGGGGTGATTAGTGCCTACCTGCATCTCTGCTTCCTCTTCTCTCCCCGGCTGCTGCTCCTTCCCCTCGCTGGGCTCTGTGTGAGAGGAGTAAACAGGAAGTGAGGTCACTTCCTGGCCCCGCCTCTCCCATCACACAGAGCCGCATGGGAGAGGAAGCCGGAGACCTGGCAGAGAGGAGGTGAAGCTGCCAGGTCTCCATGGGGGGGGGTGACTAGCAGAGCGGTAGGTTGTGGGGGCCCCGTGCTGCATCAGGGGCCCCACAACCCATCGATTAAATAGTTTTATTATTTTTTGCTGTTCCAGTTGTAGAGATCTCTGATCTCTGATCTCTCCAGCTGGAGCATGGCTGTGCGGCCGGGCCCCTGACTGCCTCGGGCCCTCGGTCCATGACCGATATGCCCGAGTGGTCAGTCCGCCCCTGCTTTCAGTGCTATCCTCACCCCCTGAAAATATGACATCCCAAGTACAGAAGCTCATAAATAAGAAAGCCAGTGGATGCCCAGTTCCATCATACCATATATTATACATACTCATGTGGCCCTGCCCACGTAATGCAAGTTAACACCCCCCTTCAGATTCTTAAAAGGTCACTCCAACCTCCATGACCATTTCTGTTTTTTGAAGTGATCTTGGTGCAAGCAATTTGTATGCTCAATATCTCGGTTGAAAGACTGCCTATACAGCGAAAACTGTGATTTTGTGCCGAGGTGTATTTACACCTCATAGACACGTGACTTAGCCCAGAGCTCTGTTCCAGACTGACTAATGTGTGTTCGGTGCAAAAACTACATCTGATGCCAGCACACACTGAGCACTGGCAATGGACGTAATCAGCTACTTCCATTGCAGGCAGCATCTACACAGAGAAGCCTCTAGGATTGCGCATGCAGCACGCATGCACACAGTCCAAATAATTGGCTCTTTTTTAAACTGTCCCTTCCATCTCTCACAGCATTTCACGCCTGTTCACGTAATCTTTTATATAGGTTTTTCTCCTCCGTTTGTTAAGCCCACCAGTCCACTCCACACTCCCTCCTGAGATAGTTAGGTGGGCTTGCTTTAACAGCAAGATGAGCTGTCATTAAGCTAATCTTGCCACTCTGGAATCTGCACACAGTGCGCATGTGCAGTGTAGTGTTCACTGATACTAATAGAGAAGCATTGGATTCACTTTATGTTCTGGCAATATATGTGTCCAAGGTCCAACAATGACTCTCATTAAAAAAGATGACACAGAGTGAAAAGTGAGGTGTGGAAAGGATAGGGGAGAACGATGCTGATCCTGGACATACTCGTTTTCCTGGCACTATAGTGCCCTGAGGGTGCCCCCACCCTCAGGCACCCCCTCCCGCCCGGCTCTGGAAGGGGGAAAGGGGTTTAAACTTACCTTTTTCCTGCGCTGGGTGGAGAGCTCTCCTCCTCCGATCCTCCTCCGTTCTGCCCCGTCGGCTGAATGTGCACGCGCGGCAAGAGCTGCGCGCATTCAGCCGGTCGCATAGGAAAGCATTTACAATGCTTTCCTATGGACGCTTGCGTGCTCTCACTGTGAAAATCACAGTGAGAAGCACGCAAGCGCCTCTAGTGGCTGTCAATGAGACAGCCACTAGAGGCTTTGGGGGAAGGCTTAACCCATTAATAAACATAGCAGTTTCTCTGAAACTGCTATGTTTATAAAAAAAATGGGTTAACCCTACAAGGACCTGGCCCCCAGACCACTTCATTAAGCTGAAGTGGTCTGGGTGCCTAGAGTGGTCCTTTAAGCTTGTTTTCCAGGTTTTTGGCAAAGAAATACAGGAATGGGGACCAATCGACAAATGCCCAATAGATTATTTTAAATGAAAATACAGAATGTTGGAAAAAGGGTGGGAGTAACCACCTGTAAACACCTATGGAATTTATTCCTTACTTACATACATTCTATTAATTTTGTTATATAGAGAATGGGGTCTTCCATAACCTTTAAAATATATATATTAAAAGTTAAAAACAAGAATGTTTCATTTTTAAATGATGCCATGTGTGAATGGAACTCTTCAATCCTCATAGTCTGCCAGTGGAAATATGTCAGATATAAAACATAAAACTGTGATGAGACATTTGAAAATACACCCAAAAGAAAAAAAATATATCCAAAGTACAAAATATATACAATGTAGACATTTTTTGGTATTAACTTGTTTTTGCTACAAGTGCTGTAATTTTACTGACAAGTTCAATAAACATTTTATTTTTAGTCACTACTCACAATAACGTGTATTTTTGATACGTTCCTCTTGGATGGTGATCATTTGTAGAATCTGTAGTAAAGGGTGGTTTTCCAGCCTCTCCAGTCCGACAGACACCGAGATGTTTTTGAAAGAACTGGTGAAAAATGGCATCTTGAAGGATAAACAGATAATTCGTGAATGAAGTGCAGAATTTAGCACGTTCTGGGTAAACGTATTACAAGCCAAGGATCAATGGGAACCTAAATAGCTCCAAATAGGACAATTGGTGGATAAGTGGAATAAATAATAACTAGATCGTTGCTATCTTTATGCCTTTAATATGCCATGATTGGAGATCTTTGACTGATTCTAACTGGCTGTGTGATTACAATGTAAATAGACTTAATGGTAGAAAATTACAGTCAATTAGAGCTTCGCTGAGTTAACCCTTTTTGCACTAGTGGGTTACGTGAAAGCCACAGAGCCAAGAAACATGTGTAAGACAGTGCTGTCCTCCAAACAGAGAGAAATAAAGATTTAGAAAATGTAGATACAACCAGTAATATACACAGTGCTTTACATCTTACAAATAATTGAAGCTGAACCTAAATATAGCCAATGTGTGCAGTGCTTTCATTATACATCTTATTGAACCTGTATCCAAAGCCTTATCTAGATACAGCCAGTAATATACACAGTGCTTTACATTGTACAAAGCATTGAACCTGTACCTAAATATAGCCAATGTGTGCTGTGCTTTCATTATACATCTTATTGAACCTGTATCCAAAGCCTTATCTAGATACAGCCAGTAATATACACAGTGCTTTACATTGCACAAAGCATTGAACCTGTACCTAAATATAGCCAGAAATATGCACAATGTCATTGAACCTGTATCTAGATCCTGATCCTTATTTGAATACAACAAGTAATATGCGCAGTGCTTTACATTATACAAATCACTTAATGTTTCTCTGGATACAGCCAGCAATATACACAGTGCTTTACATTATACAAATCAGTTAATCTATATCTGGATACAGCTAGCAATATACACAGTTATTTACATTATGCAAATCATTGCATCTACACCAAAATATAGCCAGCAATATGCACAGTGCTTATTATTTATTATTATTAATATTGCCATTTATATAGCGCCAACAGACTCAGTAGTGTTTGTCAATATACATATCATTGACCCTGTATCTAGATCCAGATCCTTATCCTGATACATCGAGGAATGTGCACAGTGCTTTACATTGTACAAATCACTGAATCTGTATCTGGACACATCTAGGGATGTGCACAGTGCTTTACATTGTACAAATCACTGAAGCTGTGTCTGGATACATCTAGGAATGTGCACAGTGCTTTACATTGTACAAATCACTGAATCTGTATATGGATACATCGAGGAATGTGCACAGTGCTTTACATTGCACAAATCACCGAAGCTGTATCTGGATACATCTAGGGATGTGCACAGTGCTTTACATTGTACAAATCACCGAAGCTGTATCTGGATACATCTAGGGATGTGCACAGTGCTTTACATTGTACAAATCACTGAATCTATATCTGGATACATCTAGGAATGTGCACAGTGCTTTACATTGTACAAATCACTGAATCTGTATCTGGATACATCTAGGGATGTGCACAGTGCTTTACATTGTACAAATCACTGAATGTGTATATGGATACATCGAGGGATGTGCACAGTGCTGTACATTGTACAAATCACTGAATCTGTTTCTGGATACATCTAGGAATGTGCACAGTGCTTTACGTTGTACAAATCACTGAATCTGTATATGGATACATCAAGGAATGTGCACAGTGCTTTGCATTGTACAAATCAGTGAATCTGTATCTGGATAAATCTAGGAATGTGCGCAGTGCTGTACATAATGCAAATCACAGAATCAGTATCTAGATACAGCTGGTAATATATATACAGTACTTTTCATTATAGAAATCCCATGTATAGATACTGCCTGTAAGATACACAGTGCTTTACATTACATAAACCTCTTAACCCATATCTGAATACAGGCAGTGAGATACATAGCACTTTACATTATACATACAGCCAGTAAAATACACAATGCTTTTCCATATACAAACCTCTAAATCAATATCTGAATAAGCCAGTAATGTACCCAGTGCTTTTACATTATAAATATCCTTGAATCTGGATCTGGATACAGCTGCTGATATACTTATTGCTTTGAATTATATAAAATAATAAAGCTCTGTAATATCAAGTACAATAAAATAGTGTATTATTTTATTAAAGCGCTATACAATCGTACAAATTATACTGATTTAAAATAAATATTATAAATGTGACCCATAGAGTGAATAACGTTGAGAGTTCTTTTTTTTAAAAAATATTCCCTTTGACATGCCTGCTGTGTCTTTAAAGGACTCCATTAAATTTGGATCAGGGATTGAGTCCTCTCCATTTACTGTATTTAATACGGACGCTCCCATAAAACACATTATACACTGATCGAGGCTTTCAAAGTGAATGGAAATGTGAACAAAGACCAGAGCTTTCGATTGCATTCTTGTTTCTTTGGTAACCATTTCT